CACGTCACTCCGCATTCGTCCCCCCCGCAACGTCCAGTCCCTGTCGTGTCTTGGGGTGCGGGAGGTGCAGTTGCGGAGGGTGAGGGTACTGGGGCTGCAGGAGCTGGTGGTGTCGGCTCTGGGGGTGCAGGGGGTGTGGGCGTGGAGGTCACTCCCGTGGAGTACACAGCAGCCTCGAGTCGGCGGCCTCGCCCCGCGTCACCCCCTGGCTTCCCGTCCGTCCCGCAGTTCCCTCGTCGTTCTTCTCTGCGGCCGGTTGCTGCGGAGCCTGGGGGTGTTCCTGCTGAAGGTACTGGAGGCCCCGAGGGTGTCGGTGGTGGAGGTGCTGGTTCTGGGGGTGCTGGAGCTGGAGGCACTGGCACTGTGGCGCCTACACCGCGCACTGTACGTTTCCTGACCCGTGAGCAACGTCTCCTCCGGTTGGAGAGGGAGGAGCGTGAGCGGTTTGAGAGGGCACAGCAGCAGCAGCAGCAGCAGCAGCAGGAGCAGGAGCAGTCCCAGTCGCAGCAGCAGGAGAGAGTAGAGGAGGAGCCACAGCAGCAGCAGGTGAGAGCAGAGGAGGGGTCACGACTGCAGCAGCAGGTGCAGTTGCAGCCGCAGCAGGAGAGAGTAGAGGAGGAGTCACGAGTGCAGCAGCGGGTGCAGTTGCAGTCCCAGCAGGAGAGAGTAGAGGAGGAGTCACGGCCGCACCAGGAGAGGGTAGAGCAGGAGTCCCGCCCACAGCAGCAGGTGCAGTTACAGACACAGCAAGAGAGAGTAGAGGAGGAGTCACGGCCGTAGCAGGAGAGGGTAGCGCAGGAGTCCCGGTCGCAGCAACGGGTGCAGATGTAGCTGCAGCAGGAGAGGGCAGAGGAGGAGCCACAGGAGCAGAAGCAGGGGCAGGTACCGTCGCAGCAGACGCTAGAGGAGGCGGAGCAGCTGCGAATGCGACTGCGCGACCTGCCCGACCCAGCACCTGCACGCTTGGTTCGTGGTCCCCTACCGTCCCCTCCTGCTCCCCCCGTCCAGTCCCTTTCCTCGTCCCAGTGGACTCGTCGTTCTCCCCTCAGTCGTGCTGTGCCTCCAGAGCCCCGTCGGTCTCGTTACTGTGCAGACGGCCTGTTTCACCTTGTTCTCCGCTCTCGTGTTCCACCTCCTCCTGTCCTTCCACAGCCTCCTGAGTCGTCCCTCACTGTGCTTCACGACCCGTTGTCCGACTACCTCCGTGCCTCCCGTCCTGTCATCTCCCGTGTTTTGTCCGCGTTGGTCACTCACCCGACTGCACCCCTGTCGTCTGTCTCAGCTCTTCTTACCACTGTCGCTGACTTTGCCTCTTCCCACCGCCTTGACTACGCCGCTCACCTGGTGAGTGGCCCTGTCGTTCTCCGTCCTCTGGGGGTGCTCGTGTCTTTCCCCTGGAGGTCCTAAAGGACAGGCAGTTCGAGCTTGGTTTCCTATAGGCAGCTCATCTCTGCGCCATGCTGCTTGCCCCTAAGGGGGATCCAGACGCTCTTGACATTCCAATTCCTCGCAATCACGCTGAGGCGGTCTCGGCACCTTGGGCCTCGTACTGGATAGCAGCTGAGGAGGCAGAGATGGCATCCTATAGGTCCACAGGCACTTACGTCGACGCAGTCCCACCACCTGGGACGAACGTCGTCAGTGGCCGATGGCTCTACAAGGTGAAGCGGCAGCCTGGATCACCACCAGTGTTCCAGGCGCGCTATGTGGCGAGAGACTTCAGTCAGTGAGAGGGGGTGGACTTCTTCCAGACCTTCGCTCCCATCCCGAAGATGAGTACTCTTCGGGTGTTGCTGCATATTGCAGCCTAGCGCGACTACGAGTTGCACTCCTTGGACTTTTCAGGGGAGTGTGCACGGGCAGATCTGGCTGCGTCGCCCGCCTGGCTTCACTGGCTCTTTCCCACCTGGGACCCAGTGGCACTTGCGTCGACTAGTCTACGGCCTGCGTCAGGCCCCACGTGAGTGGCACGACACACTTTGCTCGACCCTTGCAGCGCTTGACTTCTCTCCGTCGTCTGCCGACCCGTCACTGTTCGTCCCCCGTGGCTCGACCCCGTTCTTTGTCCTGAGCTACGTCGATGACCTGGTGTTCGACACTCCCGACCGACGCACGCTGGCCTTCGTGAAGGAGGAACTGCAGAGGAGACACGCTTGCACTGACCTTGGTGAGCTGCAGCACTACCTTGGCCTGCAGATCACCAGGGACAGGGCAGCTCGCACCATTACGCAGACTTAGTCGCATATGGTCGAGCAGATCCTCACGCGGTTTCGCTTCCCGTTCTCCAAGGTACAGCTCATCCCTCTTGCCGTGGATCATGGGCTCACGGCTCCACCTTCCGACGAGTCATTTGAGTCGTGTGGTCCATATCCTGAGCTGGTGGGTTGTCTCATGTACCTGATGACCTATACTCACCCAGACCTAGCTTACCCTCTTAGAGTCCTTGCGCGCTTTGTTGCGTCTGGGAGACACCGACCGTCCCACTGGTACGCTGCTAAGAGGGTGGCAAAGTATGTGGCGAGTACATCAGGCATGTGACTTGTCCTTGGAGGGAAGCAGCCAATTATAATCACAGGTTACTCGGACTCGTCGAGGGCCGACGACGCGGAGAATTGTCGGTCTACACAGGGGTACTCCTTTAGCCTCGGGACATGTGATGTTTCGTGGCGGACGACTCGGGCGTCGTCCGTCTCCGGTTCCAGCTGTGAGGCAGAGGTGTACGCTGCGGCCATGGCCGCTCAAGAGCTTCGCTGGCTGTCTTTCCTTCTCACCGACCTTGGTGAGCGGCCTCACTCTCCCACAGTCTTGTTCGCTGACAGCAGGTCTGCTGTCTTGTTGTGTGAGGATCCCCGACTGGTTGGGAAGGCGAAGCACATCCAGCTTCGTTACTTCCTTCTGCGTGAGCTGCAGCAGCATGGCCAGACACTCGTACGACATGTGGTCTCTGAGGCCAACACGACATATATCTTCACCAAGGCGTTGCCGCCTTGTGACCACCAGCGTTTCTGCACCCAGCTTGGCCTTGTGCCTACCCGTCCTCACTTGCTTACGTAGAGATGCTTTGTCCTGCTTATCTTGTACTCTTGCATCTCCTTATATTTGCTATATACCTGCATGTGGACTGGCCTTGTGGCCTCTTGCTTGCTCTCGGAGTGTGTGGTGACTTTGAGCTCCACCCTGAGATTTTTCTTGTTCTTGTGGACTGGTCTTGTGACCCTTGCTTGTTCTTGTTGACTGGTCATGTGACCCTTGCTTGCTCTCAGACAGTGTGTGTCCTTGAGACCCACCTTGAGATGTTGCTTTCCACAGGACTATGGTACCGTCACCTAGACTATGGGGGTGTGTCAACATATATTTCATATGTGTTGTTTATGTTGGTCTAGGTGTTACATTCATATCTCCTAGGGTTAGGGTTAGGTCTCATATATCTTGCTTGTTTTCACTTTCTAGTAAATTCTTACAACTTTCGTAACTTGACACCCTTCCCCCCCCCCCCCCCTCACACCCCCCTTGCACCTCTCTTCCCCCTCTGCCTGCTGCTCTCTTCCCCCTACACCTCCAGTTCCATCCCACTTATCAAAGGACCTTCTCCCCTCCTCTGACCTCACCTACCTCCTCCACACGAAGCACCTCTCTTCCCCCTGTGCGAGCACCTCCTTCTCCCTCTGCCCTCACCTCAAAAACCCCTATGAACTCCCGGCCCTTCCACCCCCAGACACCGCCTCTTTCCACCCTGCCAGCAACTCGTCTGCCCCGCTCCTTGCAACTCCCTGTCCCCTCAGCCATCTCCTCCATTCCCCCTCCCTAAGACACTCTCTTCCGCCCCTGACCCCACATACCTTTCCCCTCCCTAAGCACGTCTCTCCCCCCTGTGAGAGCACCTCTCTTCCCCCTACCGAATGACCTTCAGCCCTCCTCTGACCTCACCTCAATTCCTTCTCCTACAGCACCTCCCTTCCCCATCTTACCTCACATCCCTAAACCCTCGTCCTCGCCTCCCTCCCACATATCAATGGACCTCCATTCCACCTCTGACATCACGTCCATTCATCCTCCCTAAGCACCTCTCCCTATCATATGCGGGCTCCTCCCCTCCCCCTCTGCCCTCACCTCTCAAACCCCTCTCAACTCACCGCCCTTCCCCCTCTGAGTCCGCCTATTTCCCCCCTGCCAGCACCTCCCTCCCCCTCTCAGTGCACCTTCCTTCCCCATCAGCCATCTCCTCACTTCACCCTCCGCTAATCACCTCTCTTCCGCTTATGACCTCACCTCCCAAACCATTCTCAACGCTCCTCCTTTCTCGCTCTTACCGCACCTCCCTTCAACCTCCTTGCGGAGAGTCACTACACAACGGGAGTGGACTACGGAGGAGGGCACGGGGTTGTGCGAGTGATCGTAGCGTTGCGCTTAGCGTTTTTACTACTTGCTTGTGTTCACGGAGAAGTTTGGCAAGAGTTTCACTAAGAAAATTGAAAGAACATTAGATTACAATTGAGGCATGCAAGTCGATATATAGCAAGAATGGCATGCAACACCACCCGCACAGAATTCTCTCTCCCCATTTAATCCAGCCAATACAGCCACCCTGCATTGCGAATTTCCTTCAACAGTTGCAGAACCTGCAGCAGCTCCTCCCCACTCTCCCTGCTGCTTTCTCCCCCACCTGCCCAACATAAAACTGAAGAGGAAGGAGAGGGAACAGAAGCAGGAGAGCATGGCAGCGTCGATCCTGAGGGAGAAAGAAGCAGGACAGGGTATAGTGAAGGGAGGAGAGGAGGGGAAGGATACAGGAGAGACGATATAACGCGCGTGAAGAGAAGATAGGAAAGAAAGAGTGACATTGGATTGTTAAAAGAGAGCGTGGGCTATGGGAATGGAGGAACCTACTAAACTTAAAAAGAAGGTGGTACCAGTGGAGCCTTGCCAAACCTCACTACCGAGCCTCCTAACAAGTCTCTCACCGGCCGAGCCTCTCTTGCAGGCCCGTGAGCAACAGCCCTCTAAACAGCAGCTGTAGCAGAGGCAGCTGTAGCAGAGGCAGCTGTAGTAACTACACCCCCTCCAGTCCCATCTGGAAGCAACAAAGGACCCAGGAACAAGGCTGTAGCACTCACACCATCCCCTCCTCCTCCTCCTCCTCCTCCTCCTCCTGCTACGCCTGCTGCTAGTTCAGTTAATCCCCCTGCCGCCTCCCCTCCAACACCTGCTTTAAGAGAAATTTGAGAGAACAGCAGAGCCCATAGAACAGGACCCCCCACCGCCCCTGCAGCAATTGCCTCCCACCAGCAATCATTTCCCTCTACTAACACTCCCCTCTTCCCGTCCCCATCCCCCCCACAGTGGTTGATGCAAAGGTGATTTCTGAAGAGAGGGGCTAAGGGCGTGTAACTTTTTCCGTTTTAGGCAAATGTCCGGACGGAGCCCCAAAACCGTCCGAACGGAGCTCCGTCGGGACGGACGGGGATGTGGTTCGGACGATGAAGCGTCCGTACCACAATTGTGACACTTTTTTGCAGTTTCGAAATTGAAGTTTTGAGCGAAATAGTAACGCGCATAACCTCCCTCGCCAGCACATCGCCCAGTTCGCAAGCATGCATTTGGGGCTCGGTAATGTTTGAGGTTTCCAAATACCCACTTCGTCCTCTTGCTCGCGTTTACTGTGAGTACAACACACAAACTGAAAGTTGGAGTGGGAAATCGAGTTGCCAAAATTGTGCCTCGCGCGCCAATGAGGTTGCAGGAGTTCCGGACGGTCCGAAATGCTGTCCGGACGGTTTCAGCAGCGTAGAACGGACGATGAACTGAAAGAAAAGTGTCAGATTTTGTACGGACGATCGCGACATCGCGAGGGGCCTTGCGAAGTCTTTCACGAATTCTGGCGAAAGTTGTAACCCTACAAAAGTCCGGACGGGGCTTCCGTCCGGACGATGAAAGGTGAAAAAGTTACACGCCTTAATGTGGAGAGGCACACACAGACATCAGAAACTGGCACACACCCTCACACTCAGGCACGGACTTTGAGGCCTGCAGCACATTGGAAACCGAAGTAGCCTATCAGCAGCAGCCCTACAGTGTGACCCCAAACCTTTTCTCGAACTCCTTGTCTGAACGGTGGAGTAACTGCTGCAAGCACACCGTTTTCCTTGCAACCTTCAAATCCACAAGCTGCTGCTCTGTAGCTCTCCCCCTGCCTGAATTCTCCCCTTTGCGCTGCTGGTCTTGCACGTCACCCGTCCTTTCACTCATTGTTTCTTCCGCTCCCAATTCAATCCCCTCTACTCCCTCCACTTTGTCAGACACAGAACCCAGCTTGCTCCTCTGTTTTCCAGCTCCAATCGAAGCATTCCTCCCACTTCGACTACTCTTCCGACTAGCCATCTCGTGTGGCACAACCACATAGCCCATTTGCACCAGCGCCATATGCCGCGGTCTGATTCGCATATCTAAACCGTAGATAACAAAGTTTGGAAAAGCAAGCACCTCCGCAAAGGACAGCCCCATGTCCCGCTTTAAATACGCCACCTTATGCTTCAGGTTCGCTTCCCAGCTAAATAGGATAGCCTGCGGGCACTTCGCCACCATATCCACCACCAACTGACGAGCCCTGCATCTCTTGTCGCCTTCTGCTCCAGACTCATTCTTCTCATCCAACCAATCACCTCCTCCCAACCTTGCCATCCCATTTCCCTCTCGTCCACTTTGATCCAATGCCTCTTCCACTTCTCGCACAAGCTCTCTAAAACTATTTTTCATGTTATCTTCACTAGAAGATAATAGCAGAGGAAATTGTGCCAAAGCCTGCACAACATTTTCTCGACCAATCAAATCAGCCAATACCGCCACCTTGCCTTGCAGATTCTCCTTTGATAGATGCAGAACCGCCGAGTAACTCCTCACCACTCTCCCTGCTGCCTCCTCCCCCACCAGCTCCAGAAAGAACTGGAGCTTAGTTAAGAGAGTTTCCTTGCTGTAAACGAGGATGCCAGGGGCACGTCGGAGCATAGAACTCGCAATTGAGGACGAGCCTGCGGGAGTGAAAGACTGGAGAATGGCAAAATTCTCCGCAATGCGATACTGAGAAGTAGCGAGGATGGTTGGACACGCCACGATAAGCCTGCTTAGGTGGCTCGTGTCCAGATGCGGCTCATCTAGACGCTGCTTCAAGCGGCCTGTGCTGGAGCTATCGGCGTCTACCTTTCTTCCAACTTCCACCTTAAGATAGGCTGATAATGTCTCAAGCTGAATATTCAGCGCCTCTTTGCTCCGAGTCAAGATGTCCGGAAATCTCTCTATGATCAACCCCAGCTTGTCCACAGGAACCCTTGCTCTCTCCACCAAAATGTTCAGGTTCGTTGAACGTGCCTCTGAGTAGAGTAGACTGCGTCCACGTCGAAGTACCAAGCCCAATCTGCTGTGGCGGACGCCTTGAGCTGAGAGAAACTCAAGGGAGTGCTGAAGTTGTGGAAGAGAGACTCGGAGCCAGGCTGGTCCTTTCTCAGTGATGAAGGCAATGTCAGCACGAGATATGCCGTATGACTGTAGGAGACGGACACGTGGCAGCAAGTCATTGGTGGGACTGGAGCGGAGCAGGGCAGGGTGGGAGGCGAGGAGGGAAGCGACAGTGGAAGGGGAGGAGATGCCGAGGTGGGAGGAGAAAAAGCGGTAGAGGGAGAGGAGGGAGGAGGGAGATACGACCCGCCGCCTGTTGAGTAGGGGAGAGGGTGTGGGAGGAGATGTGGTGGGTGGTGAGTCCTCCTCACTCGCTTCTGCTTCTGCTTCCTCCTCCTCCTCCTCCTCCTCCTCCTCCTCCTCCTCCTCCTCCTCCTCCTCCTCCTCCTCCTCCTCCTCTTCCTCCTCCTCTTCCAATCTCCCCACCCCCACTGCGTCCTCGCTGCTTTCTATCCCACTCCTCCACTCCTCCACCTCCTCTCTCACAATCTGAGGCCCGAATTTCTCCCTCAGCACTCCAGCAATCACTGCCACTGCCTCCTCCTCCTCCTCGCAGCCTTTCCTCCTGTAGGTCTTCCTCTTGCCTCCCTCACTCTTCCCCGCTGCCTTCCCCGCTGCCTTCCCCGCTGCATTCCCCGCTACTACACTCTCAACCCTCTCATCCCCATCTCCCTTTTCTCCCCCTTCCACTTTCGTGATGCTCCTCTGACCTCCTCCCCCATCCCTCCCCTCGTCCTTCGCTGTACGCGTTTTAAGGTCCGCTTGCACCGCTACTAGATGCTTGCTTCTGGAAATCGATTTCGACTTAGAGATAGCAATCTCTGGCGTCTTGGAAGCTTCTGCGACAGCCGGCCTGGAAGACGCACCAGCGGCAGACCAGGCCGCGAAGCTTCGGACTTGGGATGATAAGGTCTCTCGAGGCGCCTCGAAGCTTCGGCCTGGGTTACAGATTTGAAAAGACGCGTTTCGTGTAGGTTCGTTTCGATTGGATCCGATCCGATCGAGGCTTGGTAAGGAAGGAACGTAAGATCGCGATGCGATTCGGTGCATTTGAGATGCCTCGAAGGACATAAATCTGGAAATCTGATCGATGATGAACGGCCGTGACGCATGAGGTAGGACTAGCCATAGCCAACGGCGGGCTGATCTACGCGAGGCGACATTCAGGTTCATGAATTCCTTTCCGTAGCATTCGTCGAATTTGTTGAACTCTTTCTGTATGCCTGGACCCTCGCTAACCTTGGCTGGCTAGTGACGCGAAACGTTCGCCTGTACGGATTTGATAATCGAAACCTGAAGACTATCAGGAAACACTATCTCATTGGATGATTGCTGCCTCGAGCTGCTATTCTATCTAACATCTAGCAGCTCCTCCATCTGGTTCAGTCTTGAAGAACTGGGTTCCTCCTTGGGACAACCGACGGGGCCAGTGTCGTGATGACAAAGGTCAACGGGTGCGACTCCATCAGGTGCTCTACGATTTAGAACGCTCGAAAAAGTATTGAGAGTGGTTGAGTTAGGTTCTAAGGGAATTTCTGCTTTCCCGCGTGGGTAGCCTTGGAGATTTTCGAGGTGAGCACTTTTCACCTCTATCAACTGTCGGAGCTTCGGGATTTGACCAAACGAAACGAGCTCCGACGCTGTTTTCGCCAGGAGCTGTAACTGTGGTTGCTGCCCATCTACATCTCCAGACCAGACCAGATACATGAATTTTTGTTCATCAGGTCAAGAATCATGTTCGCCTTGTCGCCAGGAAGTGCTGTTCGGCTAACGAGCTGCCATTTTTCGCCGTAGCGAAAAGAGAGTGTGTGACCACCCCTTGGAGGAAACGCACGAAACCGAACCAAAGTATTGGAACTGGTTGCATTGAAACAACTGAAACCATGGAAACGAAATTCGACATGGTACACATTGATTAGGGAAAGATTACTTCGCACCACACGTTAGTTCATCCACCTATTTACCGTAAACTTTCGTAGACTGACGATATCATCGCATCTTATTCTCGATTCGCGTGCCTTTCGTAACAGTGCAGTTTTATGTTTTCACGTTTTCCTCTTCGAAATAAATAAAGGGACCAAAACGAGCGTAGGAACATCAGGGATTTGATACGCGTGCATTTCGTAATAGTGGAGTGCAGTTCTATATTTTCACCTTTTCCTCTTCGAAATAAATAGAGGGATCAAAACGAGCGTAGGAACACCAGAGTGTTTCTTAGCAGTCTAAAATACGAGCGTAGGAGCATCGGAGCGCGCGCCGCCATTATGTGGCAAGAGGCGCGGCTGTCGGAGAAGCGCGTGCACGAGATGATGGACGCGGCGAAGAAGCGCGCCGAGCGGCGCGCGGATCAGCGGGCTCGGCGCGCGGGGGATTCAACGTAGCTGCTGCGCGTGGCGGGCGCCAAGCTCCGCCTGGCGCACGACTCCGCCGTCTACCAGTCCGCGCAGGACCGAACCGGCCAGTCTCTGACCCCCGCCTGTTGTTCGGTGGTACTGGACTGGCGGGTAGGGAGGGGGTAATGTGGGGAGTGGGAGAGGGGGGAATGCGTGTGCTTTCTTGTCGTGCATGCTCAATAGCCGTGTGCTGTGCTGTGCATAACAGTCGTGATAAATGCTATATCATGTGCATTGCGTGGTGACCTCACGACTCACTCATTGCCGTGTTGTCGCATGCTGAATGCATGACTATGACTATGACAACTTGTCCTGTTGCGCGCGTGCAGGGCGGCGCAGGCGGCGAAGCTGCGGGTGGCGCGGCGCAGGAGAGGCACAACGTGCGCATCGTGGGGACAGGTGTGGGACCCACAACCCTAAACCCTGCTCGTCCTCTCCCATGGCTTGGGCTTCAACTAATCCGTGCGTGCCCTCACAGCCACATGCGTGCCCTTACAGCTTCAAATCCCACGCTCTCTTGGCTTTCCCCCATGCCCACCTGCTCGTCCTCTCCCACGGCTGGAGCTTCAACCAATCCGTGCGGGTTGCTTTCGCATGTGCTCTTCTTTCTGCTTTCACATGCGTGCCCCATATGATCCTTCCATCCCACATTCATGATCTCATGAATGTGGGATGATCTCATGAATGTGGGATGATCTCATGAATGTGGGATGATCTCATGAATGTGGGATGATCTCATGAATGTGGGATGATCTCATGAATGTGGGATGATCTCATGAATGTGGGATGATCTCATGAATGTGGGATGATCTCATGAATGTGGGATGATCTCATGAATGTGGGATGATCTCATGAATGTGGGATGATCTCATGAATGTGGGATGATCTCATGAATGTGGGATGATCTCATGAATGTGGGATGATCTCATGAATGTGGGATGATCTCATGAATGTGGGATGATCTCATGTTTTTGCTGGCGGCCTCCAGAACCTAATTGCATTCATGCGATGCGACACTTACGCTATGTGTTCTTTTTATATTTTCTTTTTTCTCCTCAAGAACCAACATCTATTCATGATCTTCCTCTGATCCTCTTCGTTCCCCGCCCCCCCCCTCAGATGTGGACGCATGTGCTGGAATCATTTGACACCGCTCTGTACCGCATTGTGCTTTACGACCTCACTGGTGCCGTAGGGTATGCTCCTCTGCCCTCTCTCTCTCGCCCCACCCACCCACCCGCCATTCCCTCTCCTGGCTTGGTTTCACGTCCCTCATACTCTTTCGACCCTCTCTCCTCGCCCCTTTCCCTTACTCCCGTTTCTAGTCCCTCTCGCTGCCCACCCCTCTTCACTCCATCACCCCACATGGCGATGGCCCCACCCTCCCCACGTGGAGTCACTTGTGAGAATCAATTTATTGTAACTCCCACGTGGCCTCACCCTCCCCACGTGCCCCCATCCTCCCCATCTGCCCCCATCTGCCCCAACCCAGCATGGGTTTAGGGTCTCTGCAGCGTTCAACCCTCGCTTGTTAATCCATTCGTTTCTGTTCTTCCTCTGTCCCCTCCACCTTCCCCCCTCCCCCCCCCCTCCCCTCCTGGCTTCTCTCCATCAGCTGTTAGCCAGGGACTACGTGGCAGCAGGGCTGTGCAGCGTCCAGCTCTTCCTCTACTCGCCAGATCTTCGCACCTGCAGCAGGCACAGGTCGGATCTGGTAGATGCAGTGCAGCTGCTGTGTTGGTAAATGTCCATCAATTTTGCGAGTGCCGCATCTGAGCCGCCTTGGAACGCACTTGCACCAGGCACAGGTGCGATGAGTTGGATACAGCTGGTGCTTCGTTTGCCCCACATTTGATGGATGTATGTCTGCGTGTTTTCTGTCCCATGTATGGTGTCTGTGTGTTTCTTATCCCGCTTGTTACATGATGCCCTTTCCTCCCCCCATGCCCCTCCTCAGCTGCTCTTTGAGATGGGCACGGAGGCCAGGCAGAACGCAGCAGCAGACCTGGCAGCATCGATCGGCCCTCTTGCTGCTGCTCGCCGTCTCTGCTGCCTCCTCTTCCTCCAATGCTGCTGGTGCTGCTGGGGGCGTGCAGTGGGAGGGACAGCAGCGGTGTCCCTCTGGTGGGGGCTGCCAGGAAGGCGCCGTGGAGCGTGGCGCTGTTTGGTGCTCCCAGCGACGGCAGAACCAACAAGTGAGTGGCTGTTTGTTTGGGAGGGAGTGTGTGGGAAAGTGCGTTTGTGCATGCGTGTTTCTCGGTTGAATCGGCGGCCACGGCTGGCAGAGCTACAGGTGGAGGAGGTGGAGGAGGTGGAGCTGCAGGCGGGTGGTGGGGGCGTGCAGTGGCAGGGACAGCAGCGGCGTGCCTCTCGTGGGGGCTGAAGGCGCCTTGGAGTGTGGCGCTGTTTGGTGCTCCCAGTGACAGCAAGACGAGCAAGTGAGTAGTTCGTGGGAGAGTGTGTGTATGAAAGTGAATGCGTGAGGGGAGTGTGTGAGGGTGGTGGGGGTGTGCAGTGGGAGGGACAGCAGCGGCATGCCTCTGGTGGGGGCTGCCAGGAAGGCCCCTTGGAGTGTAGCGTTGTTTGGTGCTCTCAGCGATGGCCGGATGAGCAAGTGAGTGTGTGGAGGGTGAGAGTGTGAGGTGGGGTGAGAGAAGAGAGAGCCCGTGATGTCTTTGTCTTCCCCTTTGAGTCCAAATGGAAGGCCCCGTGGAGTGTGGCTCTGTTTGGTGCTCCCAGTGATGGCAGAACCAACAAGTAAGTGATTGTTTGGGAGAGGGTTTGAGGGAGGGTGTGTGAGGGAGTTTGTGAGGGAGCGTGTGAGGGAGAGTGCATGCTTGTTCGCAATTTTATCACTTCAATCAACAATAGCTGGCCGGGTATGGTCCTACTACAAGTTACCAGAGGTGTAGGTGCAGGTGGTGCTGGTGCGAGCGGGTGGTGGGGGTTGCTTTTTCATTCGTCTAAAAAATCGCATCATCACTTTTAAATTTCTCAAAAAGCCGCCGCTTCACTTTTTAAAATTTCAAAAAACTCCTCATCGCTTTTCGACTTCTAAAAACTGGCCTCGAATAAAGCTGCTGAGGTGGTGTAGGTGAGAGAGGTTACCACCAGAGGTGGCGCCAGGTGATGAAATTGCTGCAGTTGTTAGCTGTGCAGATCCATCCTCAAACTGGTTGTTGAGAATTCTCAAAAACCAGCTGAGTACATCCATCCTCAACTGACTTATTCGTTCCTACGACTTTGGTTGCCCCCCCCCCACTGATAGGCGGCATGTGGAGGTAAAAGTGTTCCTAGTGGAGAGAGAGTTTGACCTGGCGCTAGAGGTGAACAACTTACAGCTGCCAGCTGCGAACGTGAACTTGCTCATCATATCCCTGCACTGCTGTCCTCGTTTCCCCCAAACCAACAGGCGCCGTGTGGAAGTGACAGAGTTGTTAGTGGAACGGGAATTTGACTTAGCGGTGGCAGTGAACAACTTCCTGCGCCTACCAGCTGTGCAAATCTACCCACCACCTGATGTGCAATATTCCTTTCCCTTTTTTGCCATTCTCCCAACCTCCCCACTGATAGGCGCCGTGTCGTAGAGACCGAGTTTTTAGTGGAGCGCGAGTTTGATCTGGCGCTGGAGGTGATCGACTTCCTGCACCTGCAAGCCGTGCAGATCTATGCCAGCGTGGCAGCCTCGCTGGCGGAGAAGCAGCAGCACCGCGTGCTGTTTGAAGGGCTCATGGACCGGATCAAGTACATGCTGCCACCTGCTGACATGGATGAGGTGAGAATATGGCGACTCGTTAAATGCCTGCCTACGGGTGTATCTGCTTTGGCTGCTGTTTGAAGGGTTGATGGACCGGATGAAATACATGCTGCTGCCCGCTGACATGGACGAGGTGAGAGCTTGAAATGTTGACTGAGCAGCAGCATTTTATTCAAATGCATCCAATGGGCGTATCTGCTTTGGCTGCTGCTGAAGGGCAGCAGCACCGTGTGCCGTTGGAAGGGCTGATGGATTGGATCATGGGAATGTGACGAGGTGAGCTGTGAGCATGGGACGTGTATATCGTTGAGGCCTCATCATAACTGCTTCCTAGAGGCGTATTGCCTATGACTGCTGTTTGAAGGGCTTATGGATCGGATCAAGTACATGCTGCCGCCCGCTGACATGGATGAGGTGATCGTGCGGTTACCATGTTATCAAGCCCGTCCCATCACTGCACGGAACGTGTGAGTTGGCCGCCGCTGTTAGAGGGGCTCATGGATCGGATCAGCACGTTAGGTCTTGGATATACTCTTAGCAGGCTTCCAGCGCTTGAAATCCAGCCGTTTCTCTCATGGACTGCAGTGTACCCATGCCGGATCCCATGTGCTTACTCCTCTATCCCGCATGCTCATGCATCTCCCCACCTTCCAGGAAGGTTCTCTTCAACGTGGCATGTCGCAGGCTACGCCTGGCCTTTCAGATCGCCACGGGGCACTCCCAGCCTCAAGGTGGCCAGGGGGGTGTGCCTGCTACTGCCAGCACCACCAGCAGCAGCAGCACTGGCAGCGGCAGCAGCAGCCATGGTGGAGGGGGGTTTGGGCCGGTGTACCCTTTTCAGAGTCGAACGATGAAGTGTGAAACGCACCTAAGGTTCGGGAGCACTGCTGGGAGTGGCTGGCGGCTCGGGGCGTTGTGATTGACAATGTGGAGCCGCACTCTCAGCCTCACTTGCTCCCTCACACGCAGGCATGGCCCCTCGGGCACGGGGCACAATAGCAGCAAGCCATACGCTGCTAGTGCCTTGCTACAGAAGGGATCTGCTTTGGATCGCCCCTTCAGTCCAACTCAAGAATTTGATACTACTGTACTACCCAGCACAACAGAAAGGATACGAACAGAGCAGGATACTTAGGGTACATTCCTGGAGCGCGTCACAAAAGCCTCGCGTCTCAAAAGACGAGATCCAGTGTGGTGAAAACGTTTGATGCTTAGGTGAAATGAGGTGCAGAGCAGTACACTGCTTTTGTGACGCACAAAGACATGTCTTCGCAGGAATGTACCCTTAATTACGAAATAAGCTTTTGGAATATTTCCTAACTGAAGGGATGTGATTTTCAAGCACCCTAGTTTCTGGGTTATTTTCAAGAAAAAAAATGCTACTGTATGCTATTCTTTGTAGAATTTTGGTAGGCTTGCTAAACAAAACCAGCAGCTGTAACCATGAGTGCATAGAGAAGGGCAGATGAATGCACGCTATGACTGTCGACAGCACCCTGGGAAGAAGACGAAAACAGCAGAGGGACTGCCCAAACCAAGAAAGAAGACAGCGGGCGGAAGCACCTTGCCAAACCTCACTACCGAGCCTCCTACCTAGCCTCTCACCTGCCGAGCCTCTCTTGCAGGGCCGTGAGCAGCAGCCCTCTGAACAGAAGCTCCTCTGCTACAGCCGGTGACACTGCCACCCACAGGAACAGCTGTAGCAGGTCCAAAAGAGGTAAGGCCGTGGCAGCTGTAGCAGAGGAAGCTGTAGCAGAGGAAGCTGTAGCAGAGGAAGCTGTAGCAGAGGAAGCTGTAGCAGAGGAAGCTGTAGCAGAGGAAGCTGTAGCAGAGGAAGCTGTAGCAGAGGAAGCTGTAACAGAGGCAGCTGTAGCAGAGGCAGCTGTAGCAGCCACACCCCCTCCAATCCCATAAGGCAGCAGCAAAGGACCCAGAAATAATGCTGTGGCACTCACACCTGGCCGCCTCACAGATTAAGATTCACAGTGTGGAGGCACGGACTCAGGCATTGGCACACACCCTCACACTCAGGCATTGGCACACACCCTCACACTCAGGCATTGGCACACACCCTCACACTCAGGCATTGGCACACACCCTCACACTCAGGCATTGGCACCCACCCTCACACTCAGGCACGAACCCTTAGGCCCACGGCACACTGGACGCTGAAGAAGCGTATATCAGCAGCAGCCTTACACTTGGATCCCAAACTTCTCCTCAAACTGCTAGTCTGTACATTGGAGAAACTGCTGCAAACACACCATTTTCTTTGACCCCTCCAAATCCAGAAGCTGCCGCTCTGTAGCAACTCCCCCCCCTGGCTCATCATTGCCTGAGACAACCCTGAATAACGACCCACTCTTCCCTTCTTCCGCTCCCCATTCAATCCTCTCTACCCCCTCCACTTCGTCAGACACAGAACCCAGCTTGCTCCTCTCTTTCCCAGCTGCAATCGAAACATCCCTCTTGCCTCCACTCGTCCGAATAGCCATCTCGTGTGCCACAACCGCATAGCCCGTTCACACCAGCGCCACATGTCGCGGTCTGATTTCCCGATCCAAACTGTACCCCAGAAATGAAGGGTAGGCAAGCACCTCCATTATAGAGAGCCCCATGTCCCGTTTGAAGTACTCCACCTTGGGCTTCAGATTCGCTTTCCAACTACAAGAGATAGATGGCGGGGACCTCACAACCAAATCCGCCACCAACTGACGAGCCTTGCATCTCTTGACACCTAGTGCTCGGGAATCATCTCCTCCTTCCAAAAAGTTACCTCTATTACCTTCCCCCAACCTTTGCATCCCACTTCCCTCTTCTCCACTTCTCTGCAATGCCTCTTCCACTTCTCGCACAAGCTCTCTAAAAGTTTCCCTCATGGCATCTTCACTAGAAGTCATTGACAAAGGAAATCGTGCCACCACCCGCACAGCATCTTCTCGGCCAATCAAATCAACCAATGCCGCCACCTTACCTTGAAGATTCTCCTTCGATAGTTGCAGAACCCCCGTGTAACACCTCACCACTCTTCCTGTTGCCTCCTTCCCCACAATCTCCACAAAGAATTGAAGCTTAGCTAAAAGAGTCTCTTTGCTGTTCCCGAGGATGCTGGGGGCACGACGAAGCACAGAGCTCGCAACAGAGGGGGTGCCTGGGGGAGTGAAGGATTGGAGGATGGCGATTTTCTCTGCAATGAGTTTGGGAGAAGTTGCAAAAATGACTGGACAGTTCAGGATAAGCCTGCTATGGTGGTTCTTGTCCAGATGCTTCAGGGGGCTTGTACTGGTAATATCCGCTTCTACCTTCCTTCCAGATGTCGCCTTCAGATAGGCTGATAGCATCTCAAGCTGAGTACTCGTCAAGATGGCCGGAGATCTCTCCAAAACCACACCCAGCTTGTCCACAGGAACCCTTGCTTTCTCCACCAACATGTCCAGGTTCGTTGAACGTGCCTCCCACTAGAGTAAGCTCCGTCCGAATCGAAGCACTGAGCCCAATCTGCTTCGGCGGACACCTTGAGCTAAGAGAAACTCAAGCACATTCTGAATCCGTGGCAGGGAAAAGCGGAGCCAGGCTGGATTTCTCAGAGTCATGTGCACGATGTCAGCATTGGAAATGCCGTATGACTTGAGGAGACGGACACGTGGCAGGAAATAATTGGTGATTAAAGCGGAGGAGTTGGGGCTTAGAGGTGAGGAGGGAAGCGACAGTGGAAGGAGAGGGGATGCCAAGGTGGGAGGAGAAGAAGCGGTAGAGGGAGAAGAGGGACGAGGGAGATACGACCCGCCGGCTGAACAACAGCGGAGGGTGCGTGGGAGGAGATGTGGTGGGTGGTGTGTCCTCCTCACACGTCTCCGCTTCTGCGTCCTCCTCATCCTCCTCAATTTCCGCCTCCTCATCGCCCCCCTCCCACCCCTCCTCCTCCTCTTCCAATCTCCCCACCCCCTCTTCGTCCTCGCTACTTCCTGTCCCACTCCCCCACTCCTCCACCTCCTCTCTCACAATCTGAGGCCCAAATTTCTTTCTCAGCACTCCAGCAATCACTGCCACTGTCTCCTCCTCCTCCTCCTTGCAGCCTTTCGTCCTGTAACTCTTCTGCTTGCCTCCCTCTCTCTTCCCCGTTGCATTCCCCGCTACCCTCTCAACCCTCTCATCCCCACCTCTCTTTTCTCCCCCTTCCACTTTCCTGATGCTCCTCTGACCTCCTCGCCCATCCCTCCTCTCCTCGTCCTTCACTGTATGCGTTTTGAGCTCCGCTTGCACCGCTACTAGAGGCTTGCTTCCGGGAAGTGATTTTGACCAGAAAATAGCAGTCTCCGCCTCGGAAGCTTCTGTGTCTGCTGGTCTGGAAGACGCAGCAGCCGCGGACCACGTTACGAAGATTCGGCCGTGGGATGAAAACGTATCTTGAAGCGCCTCAAAGTTTCGGCCTGGATTGCGGAGTTGAGAAGACGCGGTTCGCACATGTTCGTTTGGATTCGATCCGATCTGATCGAGGCTTGTCAAGGAAGGAAGATAAGATCGCGATGAGATTCGGTGCGCTCGAGAAGTTTCAGAAGTAATAAGTCTGGAAATCGAACCGACAAATGGCCGTGATGTATGAGGTAGAACTAGCCATAACAATCGTCGGGCTGATCTACGTGGTGCGACGAAAAAGTTCATTGAATCTGCTGAACTCTTCGCCTGGATCCTCTCTTACCTTGGCTGGCTAATGACGCGAAACGTGAAGTCGCAATTCACGTGTACGGATTCGATAATCGAAATCTGACCTATCAGACAACACAATCTCAGTCGATGATTAATGTCTGCTATTCTTGCTAGCTTCAGGCCTACTCCGTGATGTGAGGAGTTCTCTTGTTCAACTGTGAAGAAACTGGGTTCTTCCTCAGCGTAATGATCACAAAGGTGAAGGAGTGCGGCCTCATCAGTTGCTTTACGTTTTAGAACGCTGGAATACGTAGACAGAGTGGTTGAGCTAGGTGCCTAGCAGATTCCTTTGTAGGGATCGTAGGTGTAAGGAATTTTCCTGAATTCCTTATCGGGCTTGACTGCTACGCGTACAACCCCGACTTTCGGACTTGCACGTTCGGCCGACATCCACGATGCCGAGGCTCCTCGCGTCGCCTTCGGCTTTCGCATCGCCAAACCTGCACCCAACCTCATTCCCCGAGTTTCCCTCCTAGCTAGGGTAGTCACTATATAGTCGCGTACCTTCGTTGTATTGGCAGTTCATTAAGTCACATCTTTGTTATTCGTTATTCCGTGCACTCTCTTTTACAACTCATAACACCTGGTATCAGAGCTACTTTCCTAGTTCACCCCGCTTTTTGAAGGTAGTTTGGTGGCACGGGTGTGGCCGGTACAAGGGACTGCAAAACGGTTGGCTGCAAGGTTCGTTAATTCTATCCTGCCCGACTCCGATAGTTTTTGCTTTCCCTTCGCCTGAAGGCCACGGATACCCCTCTGCCCACCAGACGAAGCGTGCGACACATGGATCAGGAGACGTTGAACAAGATGCTAGCGCAAATGGCAGAGCTATAGGCAACAGTGCAGACTCTCTCAGCAGAAGTGACAACGCTACGTGAAGAAAACACCGAGCTACGCCAAGCGCGAGGTGAAGCGCGTCAGGAGTCGCCCGATGACGAAGGCGAGGGCAACAGTCAGGCGGTGAGCAATCCGTTGGATGCGCTCACACGTGACTTCGAGGAGGAAGATAGGCAGCGAGCGGCAACAACGCAAATTGCAGTTACGACGATCAAGATATAATCTGTGAGCCCGCCCCGTTCAACCCTATGGACAAGACTACTACAGTGAAGGGGTGGCTCTTCGACGTTGAAGTCTTCTTCACTGCAGTGAACGTCAATGACAATGCCACGCGTATTAATTACGCGGTCTCCCTCCTGCGAGGCACAGCGCTTG